TAGCATTTGGGTGACAAATTTTTTGGTGTGTTATTAGTTTAGGATGTTACAGTAAATGTAAGTCAGTCTTCAATTAAAGATAAGACCAACCGAAATCATTTGCATTTTTAAATCCAATGGGCGAAACCTTGAAATCGAAATTCAGTTCCAACTCCAAAGGCCAAGACAACAGGGAGACCGAATTATCTCTTCAAATCATCTTTTTAAAACTTTTAAAACTTTCATGGACATCATATTATTCAATTTATATGAGAAATTATATAGCAGCTTCATGCTCTAACTTGCAACAAACAATCACCAACATTACACAAATTCCACAATCACCAAATTGTGCCAGTAGCCAGCAATTTGAAAAGTCTTGTTACTGTTTGGGCCCAAATTTACACATTCGGCCCGCGTAATCGAGGCCGTTGAGTGAGCATAACTTCACACCGTCGGATGAGAAATAGAAGTAATTCATTTTGTTATTATTAAAGGATAATGTTATGATGTTTTATCATAATTATCTTTTAATAATAGTTTATTATGAAGGTTGAGATGTATTTCCAACTGGAAACATGTCAGCACAGTTCAAGTTGATATCCGGATGTGGGTGTGCGGCACAATTCAAAATGGATTTTAAAATTTATTTAGGTAGGATCAGGATACATGATGATGGCCTTGGGTGATGGATAAGACAAGGAGTCTAGGAAGGCTAAGCTTTTGGTAGAGATGTGATAAGCCTAGGTGGTAATGATGATACAAGAAACCTAGGTAGACTAGGTTTTTGCATGGTGATAAAGTTTTCTACTGGAGGTTTTTAATTAGATCAGAAGCCTAGATGGGCTAGGTTTCTGATGTGGTATGACAAAGCCTAGATAAGCTTTATTTTAGAAGTTGCGAAATCTGAAGGCCACGAATCAGATTTATTTCAGCTAGTTAGAGTTGCAGTCAGACTCTACACAATTATCTAGCCGTGCCAAGCAAGTACCTCAGTCCTATAAATACAGAGGCAATGGCAATAAGAAAAGGACCTCCAATTCAACATACAAAACTGCCATGCGCAAACCCTCTCAACAACTTTGAGATTTTTTTATTTTCTTTTTCGCCGACACATTTTCAGTTGGCATAAACAGCACTATGGAGGCAACCGGTGATATCTTCAGTTGGCATAAACAGCACTGTCGCCGTAGAATCAGCCAATCTCGCAGCATCTTCAGTTGGCATAAACAGCACTGCGTCGAGGCCAACTGGTTACCTATCCAAGTCTCGGTCGAAAAGGATTTCCGAATCCTTGTTGGTCGAGGTCATCTCATTAGCCTCGGCGAAGTGAGGTGTTACGAGTTACTACATTCGGCACATTGGAAGCCGAATTTGATATTGAACTTCACTAAGTTAGCAGCCTTGTCTTCAGGCTCTAGAACCCGAAGGCCGAGACAAGTTCTTTCCTCGGCCGCAATCGCAAGACGCAGAAGTCAGCCGCGCACCCAACGCAACATCAACATATTTTACTCCTCGGCCAAGCTGCACACAACCGAATGACGTAGTTAGCTTATAGATTAATCGGCCTGCGCGCCACGTAGGCGTGGTAGTTTTTAGGGTCAACAGTTACATATAGTGGATACAATTAAAACATAATTGTTACATATATAAGGTTACATTGGTAGTTTGAAAAGTCTTGTTATGTATATCAATCACTGCTTAACTGTGCACGTGGAAAACATTATACTCATTGTTGTTATTTCATGGACACGCATGATCTTTAACATCCTTTAAGTTTTTTCTTAATTTTGTTTTTCATCGAGGCCAACTAGGTTGTGGTCATACTCACTAAATTCCGGGGAACAACATACGTGCATTATAACTAGTGAACAATCCCGCTTCTCATATTAAGATGTAGCAATGCACACCATATGCACACCAAATGCACATTAAAAATTTTCACAAATTTTTGCAATTAGACACTTGAACCAGAAATTGTTTCATCCCAGTTTTGTAGCCCGTCAAAACCTGAAATTTATTCCACAACCTATAGACCCCAACATGAAAACAAACCCTAATTTAACTTCTACTCATTAATTCATCTTACAAACAACTCATTTATTCCATAAATCATTGATGAATGAACTTGGAACTAAACACTCTACCTTATTAGGCCTGCCGAAGCTTCAATCGCCGGAAAAAATGGAACTTTCTGGTCAAAACGGAAAATATGGTACAAAACCCAGTTCACTCTTCTTACCTCTCTCTCGCATCCCTTTGTTCGAAATCAAAGGTATGAAGTCAACCCAAAACCCAGCTCACTCTTATCACCTCTCTTTGGACTTCCCTCTCTTCGAAATCGGAGCTCAGAGATCTAAGCTCAACCCAGAAACCTAGAGATCTCAGAGTTCTCTTGGCATCCCTTTCTTCCAAATGAGAAGTGATGCAATGGGCTTCTGATTTTTAGTATTTATATGTGGGTATTATAGTAATTTCGATTTTGTACATGGTGTGTATGGTCGATTTGTCCTATTTCTGTCCCAAGATTAAGAAATTGTCCCATTTTGGGGTATTTCCCTTATATTTTTAAATCTTTTTCTATTGTAGTTCATCATTCTTTATGATTGGTCATGCATGTTCTTCGTTGTGTGATCCAATTACTATCCTTTACCATGAAAATCCTTTGATTTTTTTACGTGCTCTAAATATATGTTTCCAAGATTCAATTGATTTATTATTCGGAACCATGAAGCGAACCAGAACCATTGTGAACCAAACCGTACGGTTTTAGAAATAAATTTAAATGAAACTGCACCGAACTGAACCATTGATCTTTCCCGGTTCAAATTTGAGGGTGGAACTAGGCAGAACCAAACCATGCCCACCCCTGGGTATTTATAGAAAAAAATTATAATTTTTTGTATATTTTTCTGTATTTTTAATAATTTTTAATAACTTTACCTAACTTAATTAATATGGATTGTTGGATTACAAAAAAAATTGTAATCCAACACTCCAGATTTTGACACGTGTAGCCAACAGTAACAATTAAATTTTTTTCTTCTTCTGATTTTCCATCTTTTTTTTCTACCTTTTTAGCAGAAAAATCTAGACTATTGATCGGAAAATCCAACGGACCAATCATCACCACTACCAATTTAGTTTGATTTCACATAAAAAGGTATTACACAATCATCACCACTACCTATCTCACCATCATATTATGATGAAATCAAACTAAACGGGTGTTAATGGTTTCCCATAAACAATTCAATGAATTGATTTGCCACCTATATTTTCAAAGCTATTGAACGGTCATAAGAAAGTCCAAAACTCAGCCGGGAATTATGTGTCTTGTCCCAAGTAAGAGAGTCATGATACACTCCATCTCTCTCCCTATCTATTTAGGTAGGGGTGGGTATTAAAACCGCCAAACTGGAAAACCAAATCGACCGTATTAAAAAAAAATTGAAAAATACCATGTTGACCGAAAAAGTAAAAAACCGAGTTAAGAACAGAACCGGACTGGCTCAGATCTGTTCCGATCCCGATTTTGTAGTACTAGGAACTGGCCTCAACTGATTATAAATATTTGTTTAAGTTTATTAGTTTTATGAATGTATGTATGTATTTAACCAGTATTTATACATGTATTATGGCCACTCAGAACTGGTTATTGTTTTCACTTGTGAGTGAAAGGTCTTAGGTTCGAATCTCGTAGATGGTAAATTCGATACCAAATTAGGTTGCTCATTGTATGGCTTAAACGAACTCTCCCTCCCCTTAATGTAAAATATATCGTTGTATTTAAAATAAAATAAAAAAGATGTACTATGTGTATATGTATGTAAATCATGTTCTGTACTCTTTTAACTAGCATTGGAGCAATTAACCATTATGTACACTTTAATTTCAATTTAGGATGTACACATTGATCTTGATTTGAGGTCTATTAGGTTATTGAAAATTTTATAGTGATCCAGAATATCGTATGTAGTATCTCCTAGAATCATCAAAGAGATGAGGAAACAGAAAAACCCAAACTCAAGCACCTTTACCTTCCGCGAACAAAAATTTAAAGCGTTCAGACTCATGAAGAGTCGAGGACAGACAAATTAAGGGAACATCATCATCAGTTCATACCTTTTATTAAAGATCATGCATGGTAGCAGCAAACACCCAGTAGCCAATAGGCCCCCCTTCCTGGCCTTACGCGCTTTATGTACAAACTTTGTTGCTCGATTTCATTTTTTGGTCAACACGTACACAAAATGGGTGTAGCGGAGATGAGGATGCTTCGTGGGATGTGTGGGCACACGAGAAAGGATAAGATTGGGAATGAGGATATCCGAGGTAAAATAGGAGTAGCCGAAATTGTAGGAAATAGATGAGAGAAAATCGGCTCCGGTGATTTGGACATGTGCAAAGAAGGCCGACTGACGCTCCGGTTCGAAGATGTGACTACGGGACAGAGGTTCAGGGCCGAAGGGGTAGAGGAAGACCTAGGAAAACTTTGGAAGAGACTCTAAGAAAAGACTTAGAGTACTTGGATCTAACGGAGGACATGACACAAAACCGAGCGCAATAGCGTTCTAGGATTCATATAGCCGACCCCACTTAGTGGGAAAAGGCTGTTGTTGTTGTTGTAGAACATCCAATGCAATTTGACCTCGACAAGGACTACCCTAGCATTTGGACGACATACTTCTTGGTGCGTTATTAGTTTAGGATGTCACAGCGGGTTTAAGTCGGTCTTCAATTGAAGATAAAACCAATCGAAAGCATTTGCATTTCTAAATTAACGAGCGAAACCTTGGAATTGAATTCACTTCCAACTCCAAAGGCCAAGACAACGAGGAGTCCGAATCAGCTTTTTAAAGGCTGCCCGTAAGGGTTCACGAAACATTAATGGGCATCATATCATTCAGTTTGCATGAGAAATTAATAGCAGCTTCATGCTCTAACTTGCAACAAACAATCACCAACACCAGTGACGGTCTCAGGCGCAACAAACAATCACCAAAACTTGCAACAAAACATGAAATGAATTCCAAAACATCATGATACATACGGCCTTTTCTTCTTCTGAGAAGCGATACATACGGCTTTAACATAGTCAGAATATATGAAGAATGTTAATGACGTGCAAAGATTTTACTCCAAGGAAACATCAGAAGTTTACAAATTCAAGAAAAACAGAATGAAGTGAAAGATACCTTACCTGTAAAATAAAACTTAATTTCAGCATTTGGTCCATTGTTGCCCATCCCAATATTACATTTCAATAATTTCTTCAGACTCATCACTTCCATAGGCTTCATACTCATCACGTCCACCGCTTTCACCACTCGAACTTGTTTCAGACTCATCACTTGATTCTTCAGGTTCATAACTTCCACTGGCTTCAGGTTCATCACTTGATCCATTGGCTTCAGAATCATCTTGTCCCGCACCTTCTTCTACTTGTGTTTCCTGTGACATCACATCAAGTCTTAATTTCTCATCATCTTCAGCATACAACGGGCATATCCCACACCTTTCCACCTCCACATATTTCGGCATTTTAACCTTCATACTTTTCGACACTTTTCGACGCCTTTTGATCGTGGGCTTTGGACTCATCAATTCTCCATCGTCTTTCACTTCTAGATCATCAGAAGTACCCACTGGAATGAAGTAAACAGAGGCCTCACTGACATGTTTGTAGAAATCGGCAGAGCATTTTACTCCCTCTACTGCAAGTTCAAAGGCATTATACCACACATGCACGTGATATCGACTGAAATTGTAGTCATACCATCCACCATCCTTATGCGGAGAATAAAAATTAGGACAACTGATATTATGGCTCTCACCATTATCAGTTTTGAACTTGAAATTGACTTCCACCCACATAAGCGGATAAAAGTCGTATGCAATAACAACAGAGAAAGCGAAACCCAAGAAACCTTTTCGAAACCAATCCCGAGGAAGCTTGATTGAAGATCCCTCATTTTGATAGCTGAACCAACTTGGAATTTCTTTTCCCTGGTAAACAATGGTAAGCAAAGGCCGCGGATAAGAGTCCCTTTCCTGCAACATTTATAGACATCAGATTATTCAATTCAGCAACACGTGTGTGTGTGTGTGTGATAGTGAGAGAGAGAGAGAGAGAGAGAGAAGACACATACATTACCCTCTCTTCGTCCAACATTTGAGGACGTAGTTGCCACTCGCATAATTCTAAGTTGTGCATCAGCCATCATGTTGCTCCTTGCAGTCCAGTCCAATGCTCGACAATTATAAAATTTAAGAACCCCTCGAAAAAGTTCATATTTATCCCAACCTTGAAAGAGTGCAGTCCTTGAACTTGACACTGTCTTCAGTGATGTGCAGCCATCTGCTTCAAGAATTTGTAGCACTGGGAGCTCTGGTAAAGATTGAAGCCTCTTGCAATTGTTTAAGTGCAGGCTTCGCAACTCAGAAGCTTGTTTGATGCTAGCCGGTATGCTGTTAATCATGGTTCCACTCAGTTCTAAATCTCGTAATGAGGCTAAAAGAATGAGGCCACTGGGGACTTTCAATATCCCACTGTAACAGAGGTCTAGTTTTTCCAAAGAGAGCAAACCGACTGAGAAGGGAGGCACTTTTTTAAGATGCAAACAATGGCGAAAGCTGAGAGTTTTAAGATTGGTTAAACTGCTGATGCTGCTCGGGTAGACCTCAAAGTTACTGCACAGACGAAGATCTAATGTTTGAAGCCCAATTAGATTTTCGATCGACGACGGAAGCTTTTTAACCCTTGTCCCAGCTAAACGAAGAAACTCCAGATGTTCCATCGGCTCCATGATTTCAGGGAATTTGAAAAATGCAGAGCAACCAGTGAGATCAAGTCTCTCGAGAGATTTCAACTTACAAATTCTCGTGGGAAGACTAGTAAGCATTTTGCAACCTGTCAGTTGAATTTTTTTTAGAACAAAGAGAAACTCGATTGATGAATGTAGCTCTTTAACCGCTGTTCCTTCTAAACTAAGAAATTCCAGATGTTCCATTGGCTCAAATATTTCCGGGAAGTTTTTAAATTTAGAGCAACCAGTGAGATCAAGTTCCTTCAGAGATTTCAACTTACAAATGCTGGGCGGGAGGCTCACAAGCCGTTCGCAATCATTCAGTTTAATTGTACTAAGACTAATGAGGCACTCCATTGATGATATGGGTAATACTTCTATTGATGTACAAGTCAAATCTAGCACACTGATATCCCTGGGAAGCTCAGAAAACTCGTCAAGAGATGAGCAGTATTCTAGACTAAAATAACCTGAGACCTTCAGCTTACAATTGTTGTTTGGAAGTTTCTTAAGGTCTCTACAATCTCCAATACCCAAAAAAGAAATTTTTTGGTGAGACCAAACTGATGGAGGTAACTCCTTTATACCACTGCCACGTAAACTTAAGTATGCAATATTGCCTGGCATCTTCGGAAGATACTTGAGACTCGTGCACCAAGCAAGTTCAAGAGAAGTAAGCTCGTGAAGATATTGAAAATATGAAGGAACTTCAACCAAACTTGTACAGTAAACAAGATTTATACGCTCAAGTTTTCGACTCTGAGAGAGATTTGGAAGTTCAGTTAGATTTCTGGAGGAACGCATATTGAACACTTTTAAGTTCATAAGAATCTGTAACAAATTGAAAAGAAACAGCAAGAATCAAAACCTTAGCATGACTAATTTTCAGCATGATTACATGTTATACAAGAAGTAAGATAAGCATTTACCTTGTCTTCATCCCAAAGTTTCTCAACTTGGCTTTCGGGCATATGAAGCTCAACAAGATTTATAGCAGAGAATTTTGATGGCAAAGATTCCAAAGGATATGCATGCCAGAAAATGTAACGAAGAGAATTGGGAAGATCCAGAGAAACGTTTAATTTTCCGTAGATGTTAAACCTATAGGTGGAACTCTTATCCACACCTAGAAATATTAACTTAGACATCTGTTTGAAGTTTGCACCTTCCAAGTCTAGCTCTTCAATGTTTGACCTGTCAAAGAATACGGCTTGAACCATTGAGGTTCCCTGACAATCAAAAGCAAAGTATAAATTTGAATACAATATACATAAAAAAAATTTAACCAATACTACATTTGTAGGAATCTGACTTGTTTCTTATAAAAGAGTTTTCCTTAGGTGTCTTCCCATAGAAAGTTCACGTTTTATTTTCTCAAGAAAGGGAATGAATTTAGCTCTTACCGTCCTATTTTTCAGCACATGATAGACATCCTCAGCGATGAATAACCTACTACGTTTGCCAGGCTCTTCAATGCATTGTTCCAAAACAATTGCCCGGCCCATTTCTTGTACCAGATCATGCATCTCTAAGGTTTTCCTCGTAGAAACAATTGATATGAGAGATTTCTTAATGAGAACTCTAATTCCGGATGTTGCAAACAAACCACGAATATCTACCATTCTTTTTACTTCATCCACATGCTTTCCCTTATGAAAACATGCAATATCCAGAAATATCTCCTTCTCGTTTCTTCCCAATCCATCATAGCTTAGTTTCAACACGTCCTGGATTTTTTCATTTGGAAATTGCTTCAATTTGTTCAATTCCTCTTCCCATTCTTCTCTGCTTTTGCCATGAAATGAGGACCCCATAATTTTAAGAGCTAATGGAATGCCTCCAGCATAACTCACCACCATTGATGACAACCTCGTATAATCTGTTATAGGAGTGTTATTCTTGAAAGCATTCAAACGAAAGAGCTGAAGGGCGTCATCACGTTCCAGTCCCCTAACCTCGTATATATTTTTATCATCTACAACAATTCCCTCTAGCAGGGCCATATCTCTAGTTGTTATGATGATTCGACTTCCAGGACCAGACCCAACACCATCTCCAAGTAACTGATCCAATTGACGTGAATCATTCACATCATCAAGAACAATGAGGACCTTTGTACTAGGACCTCTTTCTAACAAGAGTTGACCCTATGGTTGAAGTTTCAATATTTAGATCTTTTTCCTTGAATACCTCCTTAACAATTGTATTCCTCAACTGAACTAGCCCATCCTTTTGTTCTCTCTCCCGAATATTTCGAAGAAAACAAGAAGCTTCGAACTTATATGATAGCCGATGAAATACAGCTTCAGCAAGGGTGGTCTTTCCAATCCCACCCATTCCCCAAATACCTACAGTATTGCAAGCATCTGGCGAATCAAGGCATAATAAGGACTCGATTTGCTTGATGCGGCCTTCAATTCCAACCAGGCCCTTTAAATCACATGATGATTCACGAGTCAATTTGGTCCAAATATCCTCAACCACATGCTTAACTAAGTCAGCTTCCGTCCTGCCAAATATGTTTATTATGAAGGCTAAGCAATACTTAGTAATAAGTATGTTTAATTAATATTGTATAAATCAAAGAGCCACGGGTAGAAATCAGTATAAGATAGAGAACTAGTCACCCTTTTTTGGTTGTATTATCGAATCCGGATAGATTGGCTGTAGTCGCCAAAGCAGCCCTCCACTTGTGCACCTTGTCATTACCCTTGAATCGTTTTTCAAGTTGAGCAAATGCATGTGCGTAACTCCCCTGTTGTTTTCGAACTTCTGATGGATTAATGTCGTAAAAAATGGGTATAACCATCTGGCCATATTTTTCCTTGCATTCTAGGATATGCACAAGTTCATCCAGACACCATGTGGAAGTAGCATAGCTTTTTGACAAAATGATTACCGAAAGTGTTGATTTCTGGATTGCTTCTAACAGGGCAGGCCAGATTTCTTCTCCTCTTACAAGCCTGTAATCTATGTAGGTTTCAATTTTCTTCTGAAGTAAGGCATCGTGAAGATGGCTGGTAAAAGTAAGGCGGGTGTCCTCACCTCTGAAACTAATAAACACATCATACTTTTCTTGGTGAGGAGGGATATCATCATCCTCCTCGTGGTCATCATCATTAGCAGCATCATTAGACGCAGCATTAGGAGGAGTCCAACAAGAAAATTTTAATAATCCGCAGCGGAACGTGTAGAACAGAGTCATGATAGTGATGAAAATGATGATGAAAACTTGAAAAATCCCAGTGAACTCCATCTCTTTCTCTGAAATAATAAACAGGTGTTTTATTAATAGGATATTATAAGGCTAAAAACCAACACATTTTTCACTAAGATAATATTTCAAGGCTAAAAACCAACAAAACTTTCACTAATTGAAGGGTTCGACTGCAATTGTAGGAGTGGTGCGGAATCTAACCATTGCAAAGATCAATTAGATCCCTTCTTACCGTTGATTTTCCGGACCACTCAGTGGTACGTACCATGGAAGAAAAATTGCTAATTCAATCAATGATTAGGGTAAGATGTTCAGCAATAAATGGAATTGAAAAGTTTTGTAACCAAAAACCAACATATTTTTGTACAGAAGAAGAAGAAGCAAACTTAACTGAATCTTGTTAAAGTGCAGTCTTCTTCCCTTAGATTTCTTCTCACTCTACAGCGCTTCTCTTTCTTCCAGTATTACTCTCTCTCTCCCTCCATCACTCAAACAAGCAGCAAATCAAACAAATAAGCAAAGCAAGAGCTAGAAACTGGAGAAGAGAGAGCGGTTGCTTCTTCTTTGAAGAGATTGGTACAGATTTTGCTTTACCAAATTGTAATAGTTGATGACGACAGTTAACGCAAGAAAGGGACAGATCCTTTTCCACCTGATCCTCTTAATCCAAGATTCGGGCTGTTCAAATTTCATCTAACCGCTACAATTATTATCATTTTAAATGAGTCATTTTTTTGTTGCCGTTGAATAACATTTGAACGGTCCGGATCCCGAATTAGGTGGAAAATGATCAGGAGATGATCCATTTCCGTGTTTTGGGACCTGGTACCTGAACGTTTTAATAGTTCTTTTTTTTTTGTCAAATGATAGATTTTATTAGGTTTAATGTTAGATTAGCTATTGACGTGAGTTTTTTTTGTCAAACGATAGATTTTATTAGGTTAGATGTTAAATTAGCCACTGACGGGATTTGAATCCACACCGTCATCCAATGATTGAACACATTTCCACTACTATAGTAAAGAGCCACTTTCGAACGTTTTAATAGTTGAAGTTTCAATTTTTATACCTTGAGACAAAATTTGACAGTTAAAATATCCGAGGTAGTTGGATATCAAATTTCTATAGCATGCTCACTATGAGAGATTTCAATGTGACCAGAATATGGGTTGGTACACCACGTGTCACATACAAATAATGGGCTATGTGTGTTAAAAAGTTAATAACTTAAAAAATAAAATTTTCAACTACTCACATAAAAATATGTGATGTACCGCCCGTGTTCCAGTCCAATGATAAATTTCTTAGTATGTAGCTTATCCTCTGAGCACTTTTAATAGATAAACAAAAAATTGAAAGGGTTATTAGCATAAATGGTCTTTAAAATTGACTCACACTATCAAAATGATCTCTGAAATTGAAAATCGATCAATATAATCCATGAAAATAGGTGTTACAAATCAATGTGGTATTTCTATTAAAATTATGTTATATACTGACGTGGCACATATGGATCTCACAAAATTTACAGGTTTTTATCATAAATGATCCTTGAAATCTACTGACACTATCAAGATAGTTCCTGAAATAAAAAATCGATCAATGTAGTCCCTCAAAATAAATGTCGCTAATCAATATGGTCATTCTATCACAATTATGTCAACTTTTTTGTTATGTGCTGATGTGAATTTAATAATTTAATAATTAATTAAAAAAGTTGTCAAAAAAACTTTTGCACAATGAGATTATCTCAAGGCAGAGCTCGATGTTCTTTGTGTCACCAAGATCACCCAAGGAGCGAAGCTCTCCAAGATTAAGGTTGTGAGGCTGTCAGTCGCTAAAATATTGACAGTGATATCACAGAAGTCGTCAGCAATCCAAGCCGTCACCAAAGGTGGTCCCGATCTTGGTCCAATTCGATGCAAAAAGAGTGTAAACTGTAAAGATGGGTGTCTTGAGAATTTTTTTCAAGAGAAGAGACGACAAAGGTTACCATAGATGGAGGTAAATGAGTGTGGGTTGGTATCGGAGGTGATTGCGAGACTAGGTTTCTGGGTTGACAACTTTTTAAATTAGTTATAAAATTCTTAAACCTATTTCTAATTTATTTTTAATTTAGGGTAAATATCAATTTACGACCCTTATGTTTCGTGGTTTTCAACATTTAGTACATCAAGTTTTTTTCGTCTCAGAGTCATACCTAAAGTGTTAATTTTGGGACAGTAGTCAAACTATTAAGTCTACTGTTAACTAATGACGTGGCGCTTACGTAGACAATGAATAGGCGCCATGTGTCATTAAGGGGTCCACGTGGATTTTTTTTAAGGCAAAAGATTGTTTACTACCCTCATGTTTCGTGGTTTTCAACATTTAGTACATCAAGTTTTTTTTCATCTCAGATTCATACCTAAAATATAAATTTTGGGATAGTCTCATACATCCGTTAGTCAAACTGTTAAATATGTCGTTAATTGTGACGTGGCACCCATGTGGACAATGACTGGGCGCCACGTGTTATCCACGTTTTTTTTTCTTCTTCTTTCTTCTTCCTTTTTCTTCTTCTTCCTCCGACTGTAACTTTTTTTTTCTTCCTCCTTCTTCTTCCTTCCTCCTTCTTCCTTCCCCTTCTTCCCCTTCTTCCTTCTTCTTCCTTCTCATTCTCCTTCTTCTTCTTCTTTCTTCTTCCTTCCCCTTCTTCCCCTTCTTCCTTCTTCTTCCTTCTCATTCTCCTTCTTCTTCTTCTTTCTCCGAATCTGGGGAAGTTTTTCTTCTTCTTCTTCTTCTAGATTCAGTTTTTTTTTTCTTCTTTCTTCTTCTTCCTCATTTCTTCTTCCTTCTTCTTCTTCTTCTTCTTCTTCTTCTTCTTCTTCTTCTTCTTCTTCTTCTTCTTCTTCTTCTTCTTCTTCTTCTTCTTCTTCTTCTTCTTCTTCTTCTTCTAGATTCAGTTTTTTTTCTTTCTTCTTTCTTCTTCTTCCTCCTTCTTCTTCCTTCCTCCTTCTTCCCCTTCTTCCTTCTTCTTCCTTCTCATTCTCCTTCTTCTTCTTCTTTCTCCGAATTTGGGGAAGTTCTTCTTCTTCTTCTTCTTCTTCTAGATTCAGTTTTTTTTTTCTTCTTTCTTCTTCTTCCATCTTTCTTCTTCCTTCTTCTTCTTCTTCTTCTTCCTCTGACTCCAACTTTTTTTTCCTCCGAATCTGCCCAGAAAAAAAAAGAGTTGCAGTCGGAGGAAGAAGAAAGAAGAAGAAAAAAAAAACGTGGGTGACACGTGGCGCCCATTCATTATCCACATTGGCGTCACGTCACAATTAACGGCAGATTTAATAGTTTGACTAACAGATGTATGAGACTGTCCCAAAATTTACACTTTGGGTATGATTCTGAGACAAAAAAAACTTGATGTACTAAATGTTGAAAACCACGAAATATGAGGGTAGTAAACAGTCTTTTACCCTTTTTTTTATTTATTTTATGGAGAAGGGGTTCAAAAAAAAAGCCCCGTCTTCTACCTCCCCGCACATTCTCTGACACACCCCGATCCTAGAATCAAGGCATGCTAGCCGTCACGTGGGCGTGACGTAACCAAAAGTGCGATGCGGAAGCAAAAGATAAAAGAGATACAAAGGAATAAAAACCAACTACTAGCAATAATATCCAACTAACACGCTAGAATGAGTTTAAGTGTGAAACACACATATTCAGAGCGTAAATACTAAGTGCAATCAAGTAGGACCATAACTAAATTACAACACCCGAAGGTGAGTCCTACATGAGTAATCTGTCAGAACGTCGTGGGAATCCTCGTGAGCCACCAACACTGCTAACTAGAACCTGGGGGGGGGCGCAAAACAAATTGAGTGGGTCAGTAAAACAAAGCTTTTTGAAAATATTTCATTTAATATCATTTATAACCCCTCGCTGTAAAACCTGTATACTTTCCCAGAAAATAACATAATATGCATATAATTCTTCAAATATCTCAATTCACCAATCTTTATCAAAAACCAGAAAGTATGCCATACTATAAGCGTCAATAACAAAATAAGGATGCATCAATATAACAGGTGAAATAAGGAATCAACCGGAGACCCTGCAGCGGTCATGTTCGACTAATTCTATAGCTCAATATCCAATCTAACCAGAGTCACCAACTGTGACCTGTACGACACTACTCTGCACATAAATCGGAACTACCTGAAGTAGTCTGTACGACAAGAATGGTGTGAGAATACGTTCTAGTGCTTCTCTCATCAACAACTATATAATAATCTAAAGTCACCTACAAGTCGGAACCACCTCTAATGGTTTGTACGACATGTCAGAATCACCTCTAGTGATCTGTACGACATGCACCTACTTGGATCCAAGGTGAGCGTGTGGTGCGGGGTGAATAATATAAGCACTAACACCATGGGTGTAGGTTATGAGCTCTTAACACAATTCACATCATTAATAAACCATATGAACAACATACAACTCACCTGATACTCACTTGTGCGTCCACAACACCATTTCATATATATATGCATCAAATACTAATTCATATATTTCATATAATATGCATGCATGACATTTTAAAACATACTTTCATTTAACTTCAATTTCTGGGAAAAATCAGTAGTATATAGGTATAAACAGAAAATAACTGCCCACTGACTGATAAGTCGAAGGGTCGTAACCCCTTGACGCCCATGAATGCGTTCGTCCTCGTGATAGGTCTCACCTATATGCGAAACAACTATAAAAACGTTATTTAAAGCACATAACCAACAATACGTAATAACTTCTCATACGATGCTCAATTTAGGTATATGAATATACCACAGTGATCTACACAACCTCAGGATCATCACCAAATTTTTAGAAAAATTTTTGGACTTGCCACACGCCCTCACGCGCCAAGAATGGTACGGACCTACGCGCCTCCACGCACGTCGTCCCCTACCTCTAGTCGCCGGACTGGTTTCGTCGGCGCCGGAAAACTGGAGATTTTTCAAACTCCATTTTCTCCGTCAATTCTCAACCATTTTTTATGCATTTTACATCAAAATGAAGCCCTAAGCATGTAGAATCACGTTATATTAAATTAAGGCTAAAAAACACACGAAATCTCACTGGAGAAAATCCAAGAAAACCGGCCGACTTCGAACCCTACGATCCCGACGTCCAAAACCTTCAAACTAAGTACTCCGAGCTTCCTTGGGACCTCACTAAGCTCCCTGTAAGTTTAGAATTCCCTGAAAATCAACATTTCACGTGTGCATGAATAGTACTCAAAACTGGGGGTTCGGATTTCAAGAGTTTTCGAAGGTTCTAAGTTCCAAAAATGGTACCAATAAACTCACAAGCTTGCAAGGATGAAGGAACTCACCTTTTTGACGTCGATCCGTGGAGATTTGAGGGTTTTTGGTTCTTGTCCGTACGAGTTCGAGAGGGAGAGAGGAAGAATGAACTGAGAGGGAAGAGAGAGAGGGCACGGGGTGAGGGGAGAGAGTGTGAGGTTTATTTTCAGTGTGTCACCTTCCCCTAACCACACAAAATGCAAACCAATTTTTTTAATCTAACTCATTTTTCCAAAAACTTAGGAAT